TAATTTACTATTTGCATTATACAAAGAAGATACAAATAATATTGTCAAGTATTGTTTCTAATATGGCTCCAATGACAATACCTGCCACAGCTCCTGAGCTTGAGCCACCACCTTCATTCTCTTCATCATTTCCTGTTGGTGACTGACACTGATGTTGAATTAAGATACAATTATTCATAAAGTATATAGATCTTTTACCATAAAATACTACTAATACATAATGTATACTAGTGACAAAATTGGGTGTAAATACATGCACTATTTTGAAGGCAATGACAATACCACCCTACATTTAGCTAGTTCATTTTTTTCCTTTTTTATAAATATTTGTTAGAATTTATTTTACAAAATTTTGTTAACCAGCTACAAACCCAGAAGATAAAACAGAGTTTCTTTGTCATTAGAGACTAAAAATTATTGCTTCTAATAAGCTAAAAGTGATTATTAATGAAAAATAATGATAGATCTAGAATAGTTAATCATATAGTCTAGTTGCAAATAATTTTCTAATTATCTAATTTCTATAATGACAAAAAGTAATATGCATATTTCATTTTTCTGCTGCTTGTTATAGTTTTCCATCTGGGTTCATTTGTTTGTTTCACCAGGGCTCACTGGTTTATTTCCATCTGGTTCGTTTCCATCTGGTTTGTTTCCATCTGATTTGTTTCCATCTGATTTGTTTCCATCTGGTTTGTCATTTCCACCACCTAGGTTATTTTCATCTATTTCGTTTCCATCTGGTTTGTTTTTATCTGGTTTGTTTCCATCTGATTTGTTTCCATCTGGTTTGTCATTTCCACCACCTAGGTTATTTTCATCTATTTCGTTTCCATCTGGTTTGTTTTTATCTGGTTTGTTTCCATCTGGTTCGTCATCATTTGGGCTCACCAAGTTCTTCAGTTCAGTTTTATTTGACTTCACTGATCTATTTCTACCTGTGTTTAAAATATGCTACATAATGCTTATTTGCATGATGTTATACTGAATGACATTTTATCATTAAAAGCATTGTAAAACTAAACACAACACACGAACTAGTATGATCTCCTATGCTAGATCCAACCCACTACTGGAGCCAAGACTAATTAATTAGCTACCTATATTAAAATTTCTATTTGAAATTAATTTAATGGTCAAAATGCCCTCAGACTAAAAGTAGGATTTTCAAATTTAACAGTTTAGTTTCAAATAATACAAATGACTGCCAGTACCCATCATTAGATTCATAAGAAAGTTTAGTTTCAGCTAATACACTTGTTTTGAACAATGCAAACATTTTTACCTAATATTATTGAGCAGACTATTACAGCTATTGCCATCAAAAGTAGCACTCCTAATACAGAAATTGCTGCAATACATCCTCCACTTAGTTTTTCACAATCCTCCATTGGACAAGAGCTAGCAGAATTACTTTCAGAAATTGTCATTTTACATTGATCTACAAAATGCCCAATATAAGAACACTAACATGATGCAGTAAATTCTATACTAGTCTACGTACTTTTTGCCTGTTCAGAATCAGAATAGTGCATTTCATTATGAGGTAGCTGTATATTCTTGTTCCATTCTCCTTCATTTGTTATCATTGATTCTTCATTAATAGTGATAGAGTCATATGATATATTATAGCTTAGATTTGCATACTGTGGGTCTGATGTGTTCAATACCTGCAGTACTTATATAATAGACATTAAATTTTGTTTTTTATACTTACCAGTTGTATAAAAATTGTGATATTAGTACAACAACTATCATTGCAATTATTAGTAGTACTATTTGCAGTAATAGTAACATTGAAGCTAGGAGTGCCTAGACCTAGTAAAAATTCAAAAATAAAGTAATAATGAGCCATTGTCTTGTACCGTTATTATTTTGTGGTGGTTCACACTGAGAAGTAATCGTATCATTACCTGTATAATAAAATATTCAATTAAAATTAGATGTAAACCACATTGTTGAACTGTATATCCTTACCAAGTGTGAATGGTTTACTGTTATTACTTTGCTGTTCATTCCATCCTCTAACAGTATATGTATAGGTTACATTTTCTAATAAGTCACTTGAGTTTATATGTAAGGCTGTGTCATTAGTACTATACGTCAATACACTGGTTGATGTACATGAACAACTAATAACAGTCACTTGATACTCAGTAGAATCACAGTTATTCCCAATATCCTCCCAGTGTAGGGTAATTCCACTTGCATTGAAGTCTGTTGTTAAGTTTATTAGTGCTTTTACGTAGCCTATTATTAATAATAATACAAAACATTGAAAGTGGCATCATTTTTTGTTACATTACTTTCAAAACAATTATAATATGTATGACTAACCTGCGTCAGGGATTACTAGAGTTGCACCGTCCCCTTTATCACCATTTCTACACGTAACAGAAATGCTCTCAGATGCATTCAAATAAAAAATGAGGCTTGAGCTGTTGTTATCAGCATTATAGGTAAAATTGTATCCATAATATTCTGTAGTATTATCAGTTGTAGCTGCATTGAAAGGTTCTGATTTGACATGTATCAAGTTCTGATCACACGATCCTAGTGCTATATAACTGATGTTCCAGTCTATTGCTACAGTACTTGTTGTACAGTTACACTCCACTATATCTCCAGCATACACACTTCCATTAGTACATTGAAATTCAGTCACATCACCACCTACACAATCATAATGTTACCTGATAATGTTTGAATGGCATCAATGGCTTACTTGTCAACCCAGTGCAGACTAGTATAAGTCCTAATAGCAGAGCTGAAGCCATTATTACTCCACACAATTGAATTGAACTGAAAACAGCACAAACAACTACTCCAGTATATAGCACAAACAATCACTTCAGTATATTCATATCCATAAGGGACAGATCAGATTCCTGTTCACATACCCACCCATTCATTGCGTATTCATTTCTAACATAA